GATGTAGAAAAGTATTCAACCACCAAGAGAACAAACAAGTCTGTCTTAGAGAGGGTGAAACCAAGCTGCTCCTTGGAGGCAAGGATTTTGAGATTCTGTCTCACATATGCTGGGCATATATAATCAGGAGGTACCGGTCTTTGGAGAGAAATATCATGCTTGGAAGGGTCAAGAGACAGCAAAGAAGAGGAAGCCTCTGGATGAGCTAGATTGACACAGTTACAGGGGTAATGAGGGTAAGTGTGTCAGAGACAGTGAAATTGGCTCAGTATAGAGCAGGGTTCAGAGCCATCATGCATAGGGTTATAGTCATAGTTGACACATAACAATAACAACAACAAATTAAAGATATGTTTCCGTGATTATTATGATGGCAAATATTCATTTAAATGTCTTAGGGAAAGTTAACTTTGTTTTAATAGAAATGAAATGTAAAAGCTGACTTCAGTCTTTCTGGTTTCCCTATGAAGCTATTGACCCTAACTAGTAAATGGTGTTGATGGATAGTAAAAGCAAGCTTATAATATTCCCGGATATTAAAATAAACTGTTTTGAAAGCAAGGAAGATTCTGTGAAAAAATAAAATTTTAAAAAACCAACTCAATTCATTAGAATGATCATCAGTCCATCATTTACCAAGGTATCTGTTCAAAGCTGTCACGCTCTGAGCTGCAAGGCTTTGTCAAAAAATAGATGTGGCTTTATGATCTGTATTCAACCATGAGCAGCTGCTCATTAATAAAAAGCTGTGAAAGTGCAAATCAGAACAGGAGGTCTAAAACTGTGCTTGAGGGAAAACTCACCCTTTGGTAAAAAGCCAGGAAATTTTGGGTTGAAGGGATGGAAAAGTAGTGTGCTGGTAGTAGTAGTCTGGAAAGTCTGTCCTACCTTCTGGGCAAGGATGAGGGCAGAGGAATCATTGACTAGACTGTACCTAGACTCAGCTAGAGAACTCAGAACAGCAAAGCCTACACAGAGCAGCAGAGACAGTGAGAAGTTGGAAATGAGTGGTGTGAATAAATCAAGATGGAGATGAGAGAGAGAGAGACAGACATGAAAGCTTTAAAAGGGCAAGATGATTGAGACAGAGTAGGAAGAGGTAACTATACCTCATGGAATAGAGTCAATCCAGAAAGAAAACTCTTACGTCGTAGGTTTATCTACTATATCCCTCCCATTGGAATTTGATATGTCACCTGACCTCCCACATTTCTCATGTACAACTAGGGAACCATGGAATAAAGCGTCATATTCTTAAAAGGTAGTCTACTAACAATACTCAAAACAAAGATTCCCACCACTGGGCCTACTGGCAGTTTCATGATAGATGGAGAAAAGTCTGAGGTTGTTGATACCTTCAGTTTGCTTGGTTCCATAATCAATACTCTTGGCATCAGTAGACAGGAAATAAAAAATGAATTACATTGGGAAAGTCTGCTGCCAGGAACCCCTCTGGAGTGAAGAGCACTAATATCAGTCTGGATACTAAGGTGTGCCTGATCCAGGCCATGGCCTTTGCAATTACTTGTCATGCATCAGAGAGCTGGACAATAAGGATGACAGAAGAAGGATCCATGCCTTTGAGTGTTGGTGCTGGAGAAAAATGTTGAACATACCGTGGACTGCCAGGAGAACAGGTTTGTCCTGGAGAGGGTGAAACCAAGCTGCTCCTTGGAGGCAAGGATTTTGAAGCTCTGTCTCAGTCCTTGGAGAGTGACATCATATTTGGAAGGGTGGCTGGACAGCACAGCAGAGGAAAACCTAGGATGAGATGGATTGACTCAGTGGCTGGAGAAATGTTAGTTTTGTTGGAGATGATGAGATTGGCTTAAGATAGAGCAGGTTTCAGAGCTAATGTATGTAAAGTTGGTATGAGTCAGAGGTGACTAGATGGCACATAACAACAACAACATGATCCTCCACCATACAGCTACTACTATATATATGAAGTGTTCAGTTGATTTAATAATATTATTTCATAGATATTTTTCAAGTAAAACACGTATTTGCCATATTTAGCAGACTGTTACTTTTGTTTTGCTATATGTTATGGGTTGGTTCCAACTTGATTATATACAACAGCAACGTGCTGAGAAACAAGCACTAATTGATTCGTTTTAGGAGCATGCGTTAGATAGCGTACTTGAAAGTAACCAGAGAGAAAGAAAACAAGCTTATAGGCAGCTTTATTAAGGGAGCTCCCAGGCAAGGTTCCTTGGTCTGGACGGAGAGATGGAGCAGAGAAGCCGCACCAAGGTGTGTCTGGGCAGGTTTTTATATAGGAGTCTTAGGGAAGGGGGAAGGGTAAAGACATTCTACTGTAGTTAGTTGGTGGTGAGTGAGTCTGTTCGTTCTTCTTGCTGACCTGCAGCAATTCCCTGTTTTCCATCCTGAAGGACCACATTCTTCAAGTGACCGTTTATAGGACTGAATGATGCAACACATCGCCAAAGGATGAGACAAATTCATCACTGCTTGTGGCTTCCATTTCGGTCCTACAGCTTGTTGTTATTTTGTACTGTTGAGTCGGAATGAACCCATTTCAGAGACAGTGGAGACTGCCCATCTTTCTCCCACAGTGTAGCTGGTGGCCTTGAACTGCATGGTTTTGGATTTGCGTCGCAGTTGCTTGCCACAAGATATAGTTCTCAAAGAAGAAAAACTGTCTTTGAAAACTAGTTTATATCAAGATGTAGGCTGTGTAACAGGTTGTTTTTGTTGTTGTGTACTGTTGAGCTGGACACTTAATCCATTATGCTGTTGGGGCTCCTACAGAGTCAAGAGGAAGTGTTTTCAGAACTGTAAAGGGTTTTAATGGATTAGGGGAGGAAGGTACTGAAAGTGATGAGGAGACAGTAGGAGGAAGAGGAGCTGCTGCAAGAACAGCTATTATCTGTGAATGATTTTCTACGCCTTTAGCTCTCTGCTAGGGGGAGTCAACTCGTCTATGCAATACGCATCACACTGCTCATTTTACTGATGAAGAGCTGAGCTTTTACAGAGATGAAATGAATCCAAGGTTGTTGTTGTTGTATACCATCGAGTCGGAACTGAACCATAGCTAACTCTCAGGCTGTTTTTTCAGAGGCTGTTAATTCCCAGGGAGAAGATTACCCATCCTCCCTCAGAGAAGCTGCTGGCCTCGAACCATGTGCCTTCGGGATTGTTTCTCAGCTTAGAAAGGCATAAAAATATAACTTCAAAAAATTTTATACTGATTTATTTACAAATTTAGAATACATTGTTTTTCACACAAAATCCTTTACATTTCCTTCACACACACCCCTCCATCAAAATGTGTACGTTATAATTATAGAAAGTATATAATTATAATTGTGTTAATTATAATTAACACCCTCTCCCTGTGCCCTCTCTGCTTTATTTTGGGGACTATAGTTGTTGTATACGGTGGAGTCAGAACTGACCCTCCAGCGGGGTGAATTATTAACAGAAATACACCGATTGGAAGTGTAGAGGGTGTGGAGGTGGAACAAGGTACAAGTAGGCAATTAGGTGTCGGATCAGGGTCGGAAAATAACCAAAGATGATTTGTTTTCAAAGTACAAGGAGGTATGAAAAGAAAGGACTGATAGGGGAACACTTTACATTAACTGCTTCCCATATTTGATCATAAAAACTATCTTCCTCACGAGTTGCTTTGCAACAATGGAGCTGAAACTTTTACTGATCATCTCTCAAGTAAAGAACCTTAGCTTCATAGCAAGAGAAATCGGACCACAAAGACAGAACTACTTAAAGGAACTTAAATTGGGGCTGCCTGCAGAGAGCAAACACTGACGCGGGCAAGGGACAATATCAGAATGCTTAGTTGGGAAAAAATGCAATTAAAAAAAATTTGAAGATTTGAAAAAAAATTATAATTTTGCACCTCTTGAGTGTGAAAACGATTGGGATCTGGCCTAGGCACGTCTAAATAAATCTTCCAGAGACGGTGGAGGTTCCAACCTAAACACTTCTCTTGGCCCCATCTGGTAGAGGAGTTTCATGGGTGCCAAGGAAGGGGGAAGGATTCAGGGGGATGGGGAAGGTTTGCATAGAAAATAGGGGAACTTGGAGTGAACCCAGTGAATGCACAATGAGAAAGATCACAAAGCCACCAACAACCTCAAACCTAACCTACCAGAGAGCAGACCCGGGACGAAGGCGGGCCTGTCTCCGTTGGCCCCGCCCCGCACGCTCATTGGCTTTCAGCCCAGACACCGAGCCACAACCTCGCGCCTATTGGGTCAGGCCGATCCCGGGGCGGGGTGCGGAACAGAGGGCCTGGAGACAAGCGAGCACCGCCTTCCAGGAGGTGGTGGAGAGGAGGGGCCGGGGAGGGTTTCCCGAAGAGGAGGAGGAGGTGGCTATGGCAGCTGCGCGGCGGCAGAGGCGGCTGCGGAGGAGCGCGCGCCCGGCTTTAAATGAGCGCTGCTGGGACTGAACAGGCGGAGCGCGAGCTCGGGGAAGCGACCGGCAGCGCGCGCACGCGCCTTGAGTGCGCGCGCGGCCCGCGGCAGCTCGGAGCCTCCGCCGGGCGGGCGGGGGAGGGGCAGGTGAGTGTGTGCGCTCCGCGCGCCAAGAGGGGCTTCCCGACCCCTACCCGAGCCCGGCCCTGCCTCTGCCTTGGGGGTATCTTCTGCCTTTTGCCCCGGCTTCCCTTCTAGCCCCACACTTCCTGCCCTTCCAGTTTCCTCTTCGCCCCTCCACCGGGCCCGACCCCGTGCTTAACGCCGCTTCGGGGTACTGTTTCCGGGTCAGGGTGACCTGTGGGGTGGGAGCCGCGGCTGGCGGCGGGGACAGCGTGGAACCCTCGCCGCGCTCACGCGTGGGGAGGCCGACTCGCGGGGCGCCGGGCAGGACACCCCAGCTCCGGATTTGCCCCCCGCGGAGAAACGTGCTGGCCCTTCGTGGCCTCCCTTTGCAGGCCCCGCACTTCCGATTTTCCCCAAATCTCAACCCCGACCCGCCGCTATGACACCTAAGTGTTTCCACTTAGATCGGATTGTGTAACCTGAAAACGGGCGTGTGGTTTTCTCATCTGTGTAGTGGGCATGATGACAGCCGCCTCCCCCCAGTCAATTTCAGAGAGAGCGTCTTCAGTTCAATGATTTTAGTTATAAAACTCTATTTTGCCGTTTAGGAAAACCTCATTTTATAATAAGGAGCTCTGGTGTCCTAGAGGGTAAGGAGTTGAGTCACTAACCCAAAGGCTGGAGGTTCGAATCCATCAACTGCTCCAAGGAAGCCTCCTCCTGATTTACAGCCACAGAAAACCCCCTTGGCGGCTGTGTGTGTGTGTGAGTGAGTGTGAGTCAGCTGTGCTAATAGGAGGACTTGGAGTCCCAGTGGTAATTGGGGGCCTGATTTGGTTACCAGATATAATAGACACTTAGAGTTCACTGCCACTTTTTCATTCCACTTCTGTTTCCCTTTTCGTGCTGCTTGAACCCATGTTTTCCACATTTAAGCGAGTCCAGGTAGACTTTTATTTTTGGAGTTTTGTGACATTTCTTAAATACAGAGTTAGAAAGTTAGACAGGGTATGTATTGGACTGGACTAGATCATGTTGGGTTTATTTCAGAACTTGAAATGAGAAATTTGGTAATATATTTCATGGAAGTTTGTGCTAGAAAAATTTGTCAGTTTTAGGAAATGTATGTTTAATATGTAACAGTATTGGCAATGGTGTGGCTTGGCTGGTGAATTGTCATGTAATAGATTTGTTGAAAGGGCCAGTGGTTTATGGTAATTATAAAGGGGAGATACAGTTGATCACTTTCTAATGCAGAACTTTATTTCAATTTTAGGTCTGTGTTTTTCCCTTGACAGCATGTTGATCTCTGCAGTATTATTTCTCTATGAGTCTGTAGCACAAATTTGCTCCATAATTCTAAACCACCTTCTGCTATTGGTCTGACTCAAGTTTTTGTATTTTCTTAGAAAAACTCTTTTAAGGGCATTTTTATTTTTGAGAGTAGATTGTATTAGCAGTTCTGGAAAGTATTCTAAAGCCACCAAAGTGCAGATGAGCCTAAAATACCCACTTACTAAGTTATTGATGAGTGACTGTATCTCTGAACCTCACCGCTAGCTTCCTCTGTTAATGGAGAGTGAAATTCACCTCTTCTGTTTACCTTCTCATTCTAGATGAGTGCTAGTACATATGCTGTCTAGGACCATTTCTTGAATTTAGTACGTGCTCAAGACACCAGGGCTCTACTTACCTGCTAGGCCACCAGAGCTCCCACCAGCCTGCCTTCCTGGCCTGGTATTCTAGAGTTAGTATATACACAGGCACGTGACAATTGAGAGAATAGAAGACCTGTACAGGGTCAGTAGCATTTCTCTGCACTGGGTCAGAGGGTAAAATAGTGTCTAATGTGCGGTTGTTAGTTGCATTCAAAAGGTCTGGAGATTCATGGTGACTTAGGTAAAACTTTGCATGGTCCAACAATATTGAATGTTGATCCAAGTAGAATGAAATCATTGACAACTTTAATTTCTTCCCCATTTATCATGACATTGTTTTATCAGTGTAGGTGTACCATCATCCTCATTTTGGTGTATATGCATCCATTGCTCTGGCTGTTCTGTCTTACTGAGGGTTTTCTTCTCACTAACTATAAACCATTTTGTCATTCTCTGAAGAGTGACCTTACCTGATGTCTAAAGTGAGAAAGCCAACATCCTCATCCTTGTGTCAAAGGAGCATGAGTTTTGAGTCTTCATAGAATGATATTTTTCTGACTTTATTTTGTACCATCAAGTCACCTGCAACTCACAGTGATCCTTTGAACAGAGAATTTCAGCCTTGTTTTATTCAGTGCCGTCCTCATCCTCTGTAATACACCCAAGCCTGTGGTTACAATGCTGTGTCAGTCCATCCTATTGTGGGCCTTCCTCTCTTATGCTAACCCCCCATCCTTAAAAGCATCGTGACCATCTTCAAGGACTGGTCCCTTTTGGCAGCATGCTCAGAGTATGTGAGAGTTTCACCATCTTTGCCTCCAAGGAACGTCCTCTTTTCACTTTGTCCAAGACAGACCTGTTCTGGTTGTTGGTAATATATTCACTATTCGTCCCTAACATAACCATTGAAGTGCATAAGTTCTTTTTTGCTTTTTATATTGTCCAGCTTTTGAATTTGTTTGAAAAAATTGAGAAGACCATGGATAGGGTTAAGTGTACCTTCTTTGTCAAAGGGATAGCCTTGGAGTCCTTTTATAGATTTGCCAATGCAATGAGTTTGTGGTTTGATTTCTTCACTTCTTCATTTCATGGATATTGACTTTTGATCCAATTAGAATGAAATCGCTGACAACTTTTAATTTTCTCCCCATTTCGTTTATCAGTCTAGTGAGAGTTTTTGTTTCTTCATATTTAGTTGTAATTCGTACTGAAGGTATAATCTTTGATGGTCATCACTACATGTTTCAAGTTTTTGTCAAGCAAGGTTGGATTATCCACTTATCTCAGGGTCTTAATGAGAGTAAATATATATTCATTAAGTTGAAATTCTGCTGAATATTATCCAAAAACAACTGGAACAGCATATCAACAGAGAACTGCCAGAAGTGCAGGCTAGGTTTAGACAGGGTTGTGGTACTAGGGATATTGTAGCTAATCTTCAGTGGATCTTGGCTGAAAGCAAGGAGTACCAAAAGAATGTCTGTCTTTGTTTCATTGATTATGCAAAGGCATTTAACTGTGTAGATCACAACAAACTGTGGCTGACTCTGAGAAGAATGGGAATCCCAGAACACTTGACTGTGATAATGCAAAACCTATACTTGGACCAGGAGGCAGTCATCAGAACAGAGCAAGGAAATACTGCATAGTTCAAAATTGGGAAGGCCGTACGCCAGGGATATATTCTATTTCCGTACCTTTTCAACCTGTATGCTGAGCAGATTCTCCAGGAGGCTGAGCTCTATGAGGAGAAGTGTGGCATCAGGATTGGAGGAAGATTCATCAATAATCTATGTTATGCAGATGACACAACCCTGCTTACAGAAACTGAGGAGAACCTGAAGCACTTGCTGCAAAGGTCAAGGACTGCAGCCTTCAATATGGGTTGAGACTCAATATTAAGAAGACAAAGATTCTTACCACTGGGCAAATTGGCAGCATGGATCAGTATGGATGGTGAAGAGATTGAGATTGTTAACAGATTTAGTTTGCTTGACTCCACAGTCAGCACCCTTGGCACTAGCAGCCAAGAAATTAAAACACATATTGCTGTTAGGAACTTCTCCAAAATACTGAAGAGCAATGGTATCACTCTGGAGACAGGTGTGCCTGATACAGGCCATGATTTTTGCATTCACTTGCTATGCATCAGGGAGCTGGACAATGACTAGGGAGGATAGAAGGAGAATTGATGCCTTTGAGCTGTGGTGCTGGAGAAGAGTATTGAATGTACCATGGACTGCCAAGAAAAACAGATTCATCCTGGAGAGGGTTAAAGCAGGCTGTTCCTTGGAGGCAAGGATTCTGAAGCTTTGTCTGACATACTTTGGACATGTTGCAAGGAGTGACCCATCCTTGGAGAAAGATGTCATGCTTGAGAGGGTGGAGGGACAGCGCAGGAGAGGAAGACCCTCTGTGAGGTGGATTGATTCAGGGATTGGGGTAATCGGGGTGGGTGTGTCGGAGACAGATTGGCACAGGATAGAGCAGGGTTGAGGACTGTTTCACCTAGGGTCGCTATGAGTTGCAGGTGACTTGATGGCACATAACAACAATTCTAAAATAGGGGTTTCTGGTGGCTTAGTGTTAAGAATTTGCACTATTAGCCCACAGGTTCAGATCCACCAAGTACTCCAAGTGAGAAAGACGAGCAGTTTCCTTCCATGTGACTTACAGCCTCTGAAAATCACTGTGAGTCTGTTCCACAGCTGTAACAACAACGTTAAGGTTATTCCTTCAAAACAATGTGACCATAAAGTCAGAAGTGTTGCTTGATTTTCAGTTAATTGCATTCCCTATTTAATGTAGTCTTACCTTAAAAATATTCACTATTGCATTACTAAGACTTAAAATTAGGAATTGATTGTGAGATATTCCTTTTTATTTCTTTTAAATATTGTAGTTTGAGTGAAAGCTTAAGAGCTTTTACTTTATTCATCAGTGTAACACTGTGTGTGTGTGTGTGTGTGTGTGTGTGTGTAGTGGCAAGAAGCTGCACTGCAATCGTAAAGGCACGCAGGTCGAGACCATTTGCTCTGCAGGAGAAGGATAGGCAGTCTCCTCTTATGTGCTTAACTGTCTCTGAAAACCCGCTGGAGGGTCTGCTGTGGTTTGGTTCTGACTCGATTACACACACACACATTTATATGTGTGTGTATGTATATATGTGTGTATATATATACATATATATGTATGTATGTATATATAAAACAAGCACTCTTCCATTTCCTTCTGGGTTCCCATTTCCATTACCCCGTCTTCCCTGCCACTTCCTGCATCTGAACTTAGTATTTGGGTAGATGTGGTCCTTTTGGTCTCATGTGGTTGATTGTTCCAAGGAGCATGTTCCTCAGAGTTGTGATTGGTCACTTTTGTGTTTGGCAAAAGGTCATCTCTGGGAGTGGGTTCAACTTGACAATTGAAGAAGTTGTCCAGAGGTGACAGTCCAGCGGCTGGCTTCCACCAGTGTGCCAGACCAGTAAGGATAATCTTTAGGATAGATTTGAATTTTGGTTTTCAAATTTTTCTCCGACTTCAGGACCTTTTATTGTGATGAACAGAGCAGGCAGTAGTGGTATGCAGCACCATCTAGTTATTCTGGTCTTGTAAGATGTTCTTATCTTTTGAATTAAATAGACCTAGGTTGGAAACTCTGCTGGCTTAATAGTAAGGAGGTACGCTATCAACCCAAACATTCGACATTTGAATCCATCAGGTGCTCCATGGGAGAGAGATGGGCAATCTCCTTTTTTGCAGTTAAACTGCCTCTGAAAACCCTCTGGAGGGTCAGCTATGAGTCATTTCCAACCCGATGGTACACAGTAACAGGTCTGAATCCAGCAGGTGGTCATTGGAAGAGAATAAGGAGCATGATTTATACTGGGATTGTATCCTTTCACATCATAGTCAGGCTGTATGTTGAAGAAATAATTTGAAAGCTGGCTTGTGTGAATAATTGCAGGAAAATTTTTTAACAACTTGCCATATGCAGATGACACGACCTTATTTACTAAAAGTGACGAGGACTTTAAGCACTCTTAGCACCAGCAGTCAGGAAATCAAAAAGCATATCG